GGGCAAAGAAATTCAGGCAACCATAGTAGGACTCGGCCTCGGAGGGCCGTAACTGCTGTCAGAATCAATCTATACCTCTCGGCTTGAGTACAGGGCTGTATATGCTTATTAGATTCTCAAATGTTATTCAGCTTGATTGTGGCTTTTATACAGAGGAGTTAAGACACGGGTAGGAAAGATAATAGAACTATAAATTGCAAGACAGGTTCTTATGAAATCAGTAAATTATTCATTTAACAGTTCGCTCCTTGTTGATTTCATGTTGCTATGGCACCTCAAGATGGAAGTGGGTCGGTCCACCAGCCCAACCAGGGGCCGAACAGAGATGCATAAATCCTGGTGGAAGGCAGATAATGCATTACATACAACCTTCGGCCACATGATAAATTGCCTCTTTATCTGGCAAATTCCAAGGAGATCTACTGGAGAGAACTGAAAGAGATATCTCACATTTCTTGGAAGAGACCCAGCCGTCTCAGGGTTTGAGTCAGAATCTGTTTAAGAACGCGTTAAGAATGCATTGTCTTGCAGTGGCGTGCCTGTCTCCCGAGATGTTGGAAACACTCTGGGCTCACAGTCGCTTTGGCATCCACGCTACAGTAAATGCCTGACTTCGTTTATTATTTTGATGGGCAAAGAAAGCAGCCTGCCAACAGTCATGCTCCTTCCCAAGCTCTTCCCGGCCTTACTTTTGTAGTTTTCTGCCCATTTACAGTGTGATTGCTTGCTGCTTGTTAAATTATTGTACTTAAGAAATTTGAATGCTAGGGCGAAACTTGTCACTCATGTCTCATGGAGTTGAAAGGGAGTTTGGGTACAAGGGGTGTTAGGAGACTTGGTACTGAAGTTGGCTGTGACATTGGTAACGAGTAGACCTTGGAAAAGTTTCTGCATCTCTGGAGTCTCAGTGCCCTCCTCTGAAGCATGAGGAGTTTGGGTTGCATGACTTGGGAGGTCCCTTCCTTCTCTTAACATCCCTGGACTCCATGCCTGTAATTTGTAATGATTCTCTTCTTGTGGACAGCAGTGCCACTAGGAGGACCTAAAGGCCATCTGAAAGTGCCTGCATTTAGAAAGTCAGGGCCAGAACCCCAGATGCATTGGACTATGTGGACATTTTATGTGAGTGGAACTATAAAGAACGTAGCAGTTCATTCTGACAGCTTGATAGATGGAGTAGTTTTTGCTTGGCAGCCATGAAGGAATTGGCTAAAAAGGAAGCATTTTCTAATCGCCTGGCTGTGTTTGTATGTTAGGGTATTTTTTTTTTACCCCAATCAGATCTTAGAATTTTGATCTGCAAGGGCAACAATAACCTAATCCCAGTGTCTTTGATATTTGATTCTGTTGATCATCACCTGCCTTTATTTCTGCTCTTGATTCCTGTGTCTTAATATACTAGTGATACTAAGTTTTAGCATTATGAGGCCATTACTATTATCCCTATTGGACGTGTTAGGATCCGGTCAGGGAACAGAAACCATGCCAATTATGGGTACCAAGGGTTAAAGCATTGTCGCTGGGACATACAGTAACTAGGTCAGTGAAAGGGCAAAAAAGAATCCTGAGATGAGACGTGTTCTCTAAAATCAGGAAGCATGTGCCCGGTTTATTCAGACACAGATTCCTGGGCCATGCCCCAGAGCTTCTGGGGACCCTCAAATTCACATTTTTAACAAGTGTTCAAGTTGATGCGGATGTTGCTGGCCACATTTTGAGAATCAGCGTGGTAACGTGCCG